CACATTTAGGGTTGTCAAGGTGAAAATATTCGTTTTGTGTTGTCACATGATTCTGTTGATTGGACAGTTAATCCTAGTGCAGAAGAAAGCCTACGTGCTCGGCTTTACACTGATGGTGGCCTTCAACTGGCTGCTTTACTTATCCTGTTACAGTACTATATCACAAGTCAGTTGCATTTTGCGGCTAAGTACTTCTCAACGTATGAAAGGACTGAACTTCTTATAATGCTAAGATCTCTAAAAACTGGCATATTGGTTCTTCTTAACAATAAGGATAATTAGCAAAAAGAAGAAACAAACTTTATTTTTACTCTGACTTCCGGTGTTGAAGAGTTCCTTTTTCAGTTTATTCCCTGTATCTTACTTTTTTCTTCTGATTTTTAAATAGTTTTTTCATTTAGAGATCTTAAATGATTTATCTCGTGGGCGGGTAGCGTTGGCTGTTGCTGTAACCGCTGGCGAGTTTCTGAGGAATGAAGTATTAACAACAGTGAGAAACCTGGAAATGGATATGAGGGAAGAAAAGCAAATGTTAAACATTTTCACCGTAACTACTCGTATGCGACCATTTTTGCAAACAGTGAAGAAACTCGTTGTGGTTTTCAGCAAGCTTTGCAAAGTATGCATCTCATTGTTTGTTTTTATGTTAATTTTTCTAGAGGATTTTTTGAAGTGTTTTGATACACTTAATGTCTCTGTATTTTTCAGGTATGAATTGTTTCAAGGTTTAAAAAGAAATTTAATGCCAGACTTTTCTGAGCATTCGAAAATGTTAAAAAAAAAATTTTTAGTCTGAAATGGTTGGCGGTGAAATATTGACTTATCTTTGTGAAGAAGCAAAGCTTTGTGTACTGCCGGATACTACTGCAATCTTGCTCAAGCTCGAACAAGTTGGTCTAAAACACTATCTTGGTTTTGTTTTTTCGTGGATCTGCTATGGAACTTTGACTGAAGATTATTATCACGAAGTATGTCTCCAAGGTCACTTTATTTTTCCATTTATTTTTGTTTTCATCACTCTTCAATCTAATAACACTTTCAATGTTTTTTTTTCAGTTTATGGTGTGGGATTTGAGTAGGACTGGCTGTTTTGAAAAACACCAAGTCTTGGAAGATGCTGAACTGGCAAATGTTGTTTTTGATGGGTAGATTTTCTGTGTTTTATTTTTTGTGTATAATCATAGCTTCTCGTGTAAACTGCTGTGTAGGACTTATTTTCAGAAAAAGCTTGTTTTACGGTTGTCACTTTTAGCTTTTTCATTTTATTACAGACTAGAGGAGAAGTTTTGTGTAGTAAGTGGCTTGTGTCCCTCACAACTGTTGGACGTTTATACTGATATCGTTAATTGCGGGAAATACGTGAGGATTATGCAGAGCCTTGACGGTTTGATATATCTCTTTATTATTAATCTCTGATTAGTAAATAGCTTTATTTTTCAGCAGAAAAAATTTTAATTCTGATCTCAATATGATAAAAATAATTTTTTTTTTTTGATAGTTTGTGCATTACTTTTAGCTGGAAGAGAAAGTTTTGATGACAGGTTTGTTGACGGAAATGTATTACAGAGCTGGGAAGACAAATCGGTCAGTTGTTTCAAGAAATTTTTTAAAAAATTTGTTTTTTTTTCTGAAAGCACATCTAGACTCTTTTTAATCAGTTTTTTGCTGGACATAATATCAGTTTACATCTTCAGGTGGAAAGTGTTAAACAAGAGATTAAGGAGATACGCTGCAGATTCAGCAGATTGCTAGTTCTTCAGCTCAAGAAGACATTCAAAATGGAGTTGTTACTAGAGTTAGTTTAAGATTTAATTTTTGACAGACTTTTCAGTATGTAATGAAAACATCTGTGGTCTTGGGCAGAAGAGTGTTCATTGTTTTGTAGTTTACCATCTGCGTAATTTTTTTAGAGCGTTCCATGATTTCTTTTTCTTGAAGTATCCGGACTGGCTCAATCAATTTTTCGACCTTACTGAGAATATATTTTCACATCCTGTTGACAGTAATTTTTCAATCAATAATTTTATAAACTTTTGCGAAATAACATTAAACGAATAAGAACACAACTTTTTATGCTTCAGGTATTATGGCTAAGAAGGTACAGTTCTACTTTGAGGAAGCTGTTAATTCATCTTGCTTGGAGACATTAGATTTTCGAAACCTTTTTCGGTAAGTTTGAAAATATTTACCTTCTTTGGACAAGGTAGTTTCTGAGGTTTTTTTGCTTTGAGAAGTGGTTAAAATTAATTTTTTTTAAGGATTTCCTTCGACAAATGTGACGTCTTCACCTTATTTCTCTCTATTATCAATCTAACGGTACCACCAATCCAAGGTTATTTCTTTATTTTGATGCATTTGTTTTTACGCGGATCTGAGCTTTGTTTTCTAATGACTTTAAGGATACACATCCCGCCTTTGATATATTTATGGTTTTCTAATTTAATTTATCATTTCCTTGCTTGGCAGATACATCAGGAAAGTCAAGTGAACTAGTTCCTTCTGGTCAGCCTGACGGGGTTCTTCAAGGCTACCGTGTGGACCGGCAACTGCGAGACGGCTTAGTTGGAGCTGCTGCTTTATCTTTGACTGTAGACTTGCAATCCCCTATGACTCTGATGTTCTCTTCAAGGATGCTTTTAAATTACGAGCTCGTTTTTCGAACTTTGTTTTGTGTTCATCGTACTCGTCGATTGCTCTATGGGTAATTTCGTTGTCAGTTTTATGAGATTTACGATGCCAACGGCTTTGGAGATAAATTTAGCTTTTTCAGCAAGTACGTTTTAGAGGATTTATTGGGTGAAGAACGTGCGCTGCTTCGAAGCATGCTCTTTGTTCTGCATGAATATTTCTCGCACTGTGTTTCCGATGTTATTCCAAAATATTCCAAAGCCTTCTTATCAAAAGTAGCTGAAGTCAGTTTAACGATTACCGTCTTGTTTTTTGCTGTTTTGTTTTTTTCATGAGGTTTTCAGATACAATTTTAGGTTTGCGGAACTTGCTGTACTATTCATATGAAAAAGCTTTTATTGCGCATTTCTCCTAATGGCTTTAGAAAATCACAGTTTTGGTGTGCCTATTTTGAATTTATTTATGACCTCA